CGCAGGGCGGACTCCTGCGCGACATGGAGTGGGTGTGGGCGCTCGTGCTGCTGGCGGCTGTGGGCGGCGGGCGCGCTGAGCGCGACTGCAGGGTGAGCAGCTTCCGAGTCAAGGAGAACTTCGACAAGGCACGAGTAGGTATCCGCCCGGCTGGCCCAGGTTCCCGCTGCCCCCGACTCCCCCAGACTGCAAATCCCCGCTCTCGTCCCTTGCACAGTTCTCTGGGCTCTGGTACGCCATAGCCAAGAAGGACCCCGAGGGTCTCTTTCTGCAAGACAACATCATCGCCGAGTTCTCTGTGGACGAGAAAGGCCACATGAGCGCCACGGCCAAGGGCCGAGTGCGTCTGTTGAGGTCAGTGGGCTCTGTGTTCAGGGGCCCGGGGCTCATGTACGGCTGAGCGCTAAACACGCGGGAAGGAGAGGAGGACCCAGGGTGAAAAGGAGCTAGAAAGCCCTTTTCCTGGTTTGGCTCAGAATCTCTTGGCTTTTGCAGTAATTGGGAAGTGTGTGCAGACATGGTGGGCACCTTCACCGACACTGAAGACCCTGCCAAATTCAAGATGAAGTACTGGGGCGTAGCCTCCTTTCTCCAGAAAGGAAGTGAGTAGTCAGCGCATCGGGCCTTTTTTGGGGGAGAGAAGGCCTCCTGGCCACATCAGTGTGTTTCTTCTCTAGTGGCAACCGTGGGAAGAACAGCTGTGGGAAGGTCTGTATGTGGCAGCCCCACCTGAAGTTAGGGTGTCGGGAATGGGAGCAGCAAGTGCCCCTTGTCCCACTGTTCCAGAAACTTGGCGACCCTTGAGCTTGCCAGGTGCCACTTTACCATGCAGCCAGGTGTGTGACTTGCCCCATGCTGACCCTGTCGTCTCCCCACGTCACATCCCCACTCGTGCTGAATTTGCATTTCTTCCATCTGTTTGGGCTGAATTCCTGAGCCAGTTGACTGCCTGGGCCCCAGCAGAGGCTGATGTTCCCATACCCCATCCAGAGATGGAAGGAGCAGTGTGCAGAATGGCTCCTTACCAAGGGTCCTGCCTGCCAATATTAAGATTCTGAGCCAGGGACCTTGTTCTGCATGACAGTGGCCTCTTTTCCCAGAGCACTGAAACTCTGGGGTGGGGTTTGAAAACTCAGCAGAGCATCCTGAAACTTGGCCTAATTGTGAGAACTTTAGTCTACATGTGCTTTCTAGCCACCATCCCCTTTTCTCATAAGTTTCAAATCTGGAGTCTTCTCAGAATAGCTAGAGAAGAGTGCAGGTCAGGGAAGACTTATCATGGGATTTTAGAGAGGCAGGGTTAACCCTAGGGAGAAGTGGTCTTCTTGCAGATAAAGCAAGCTGGGCCCCACAGAAGGTAGTGCTTTCTCCCCAGTCATACATTAGGAGAGCCAATATCAGAAACCACAGTTCTAACTCCCAGGTCTGCGTTGTATGGTCCTGAACTGCAGTCTCCAGATACAGACCCATCTTTTGCAAAGTACTGTTTGTGCAATACTGTGAGACAGGACTGAGGGGCTGTTTAGAGGAACTCTCTTCAATTGTGCTCCTGGAAAGAAATGTCATTTATGTAACTTCTTACATCTTACATGAAACACACCGTTTGACTTAGTCACGTGTTAGATGAAGTTGCATTTTTTTCAAGTTATGTTTTTGATATTGATTATACTGTACAAAGGAATTGCTACACCACAAAGAGAAAGTTTTTAACCAGTAGGAGTAATAAAAATTATTTCAAATAGTGTGACAAAGCAAAGGGGCACAAAGTTCCTAATTTTTACAAAATGCGATTCACATTCTGGCACCAATTTTGGAGAAAAAAAATTAAAGCTGCAGATTTTTTAAAAAAAGCTAGTAGCTAGCTGCTTGGACCTGAATGGAAATAACACTTTTCATAGGTGAGTACTCGTATGTCGGAGGGGCAGGATCCTGGGGTGCTTGTGATAATACAGTGGTCTTATAGCCAAAGCAGAGGTGACTTCATGGCTTTGTGGCTCACAGATGACGACCACTGGATCATCGACACGGACTATAAAACGTTTGCTCTGCAGTACTCCTGCCGCCTGCTCAATCTCGATGGCACCTGTGCCGATAGCTACTCCTTTGTGTTCTCCCGCGACCCTAACGGCCTGACCCCGGAGGCTCGGAAGATCGTGAGGCAGCGGCAGGAGGAGCTGTGCCTAGAGAGGCAGTACAGGTGGATTGAACACAATGGTGAGTGCGGCTTCCCAAAGGCTGGAGCCTGGGCCAGCCAACAGGAGTGTGCACGTCCGCACACAAGCAAAACCAGGGAATTCGAGGAGCTGCCCTTCTGGGCCCAGGTCTTGGTCCTCTTGGCTTGGTCTTCTCCTGGGCTTATCCTAGGCCAGTGTGGTAGTGACCAAAGACCTTTTGCCAAAACTCTGACGAGTAAGTAAAATGTCAGAGGACACACTTATCCTTTTATGCTACCTCAGGCCAGTTTGCTTTTGGCTCCACTGCCCCCCAAAATCACCTTGATGAAATTAATATTTGGAGGGAATTAGTGTCATCCATGAAGAACGGGGTAGCGAATGTGGTCACTGATGTAAAAACATGAATAGATATCAACATAGTGAGTTCAATAGAGAATGGTAGTAACAAACATTGTTTATTCTCTATGAAACTAAGTAATTGTTAAATAATTAACAATTTGGGGGAGATTCCTTGGGACAACCATAGGAACTTTTTATGCTATTAGTTCTATCTTGATTTAAGAACCAGGAACATGGTGGAGAAAAGTGTGCTATTTTGAATCAACGCTCGCTTATTCCTATGGGAAACTGGTTTTCAAAACCAAACGGGTCATGCTATAGTATACAAAGCAAGGAGGGGCAAAACTGGACATTTTTGTTGGCACCTGACTGACCCTCTGCACCAAACAGATATGAACTCAGACTGTGGAGGTGTCACCCTGGGAGGCAGCCCACCTGTAGGGCTGGTAACTGATTTTGTTGCCACCCAGCATCCCACTAAGTCCTTCACCTGCATTACCTCAGTTAATCCTCAGAAACACTTGTGAAGTAGACATTCTTATTATCCGCATTCCACAGATGAGAAAATTGGGGCTAAGAAAGATTAAAAATGTCACCCTAGGTCTCTGACAGGTAGCTGCATTGAATGGAAACTCAGATTTGTGTGACTGAAGTCTTGTGGTACCATGTGGTGACATGTGACATAGGACATGGTAAGCCCTATAAGACTGCCAGTAATAGGGCTGTTGTGAGGCTGACTCAACCCTCACGTGTAGAAATAGGAGGATGGGCCCCCACCACTGTGAGTGCAGCGAGACAGAAAGGAAAGACATACTGTTCACACGGCAGGTCCCTGCTGTCAGCACACTGCCTCTGGGGAATTCAGAGGGGTTCAGAAACAGCCTGGAGGGTGTTTATTAATGACAGCCACATCTAACTTTGAGAGTTTGCATTTGTTATGAATTTGAATTGAAGAAACATATGAATGAAGCCAGGCTCTAAGGCCCCAGTGGTATTCATTATCTGTGTAAGCTGTGGGTCCCTCTTCTTGTCATTAATGGCTTTGCTTTCTGTATTTCAGGTTACTGTCACAGCACATCAGAAAGAAACTTTTTGTAGCAACATCAAGGATGTAAAGTTTCATTTGAAAACTTTCACTTAACTCTGAATCTTTATCTCTATTTATCTTGAGAGTTTAGTTTGCCCACCTCTCCTTATCTTCCCTGGGTGAACATAAAAATGTATGTGGGAAGGAGAGAATTTGTATGTCCTACTGCGGTTTTCTGAGGGACTATTTGAGGGTTGGGATTCCAAACTTTGATTTATTAAAATATAGTCACCAGCTTCCTATGATTTGAATTTTATTTATATTCGTGGGCAGGAGGTGGGAGTATATTTTTATCTACCAGGAGGGCATTCTTCCCTCCTATTCTCTGGGACCTTGGGCCAGTTCTCGTGCCTGATCTCCATTATTAAAGACTGTGGCTTCTCTTAACTTCCTGAAAAAAGGGTTTCCTCATTCATCCAGAAAGCCTCAACTGCCAGCATGGTCAAGGGAGTATGGCCAGGCCACTCCAGCAAGCCCAAGGCTGTCAGCCCTGGACCTTGAGTAGGCAGTGCAGTGGGCTAGCTCTGGCTGGGTGTGAGAGGCTGAGATGCATGGGTCAGGATGAGCACTAGAAAACAACCCCTCCTTCACTGTCCTTACTATGTGGGGAAAGCAGCCTTGGGTTTCTCTGGGGAAGTTGGGAGATGGGCCAGGGCTGTAGGAAAGAACACAGTGCCCCTATTTGGAGTGGGCAGGGATTTTAAGTCTAAATGCAGCTCATATATTAGTGCAATGGGGGCTGGATATGACTTCTCAGCCACATATTTCTTGAAAGGTGGAAAAACAACACCTGCCTGAGGGGATTCAGTCAGACAACCTCTTATCCTGTGTAGGAGCTGCCCAACACTGCCAGGTTGATGCCAGTAAAGAGCACTGAGGTGCAGGGTTAGGTCCTCATCCCCATGTGCCTTCATCTCCAACAAGAGCAGAGGACAGGTGGGAAAACTGCCTTTTACTCTCATGGAACGGTAGGCTCAAAGCCTGGCTCCTCGGCATCAATCTAACAATCCCAAAGACACATAAAATATCCATGCATCCCTTCAAAACAGAGCTGGAATTTATTGTATCAATTAGGTAAAGGTGAAGAAAGCCTCCTTGTCCTCTTTTGTCCCTAAGCACATGTTCATAAATCTGATTTCAGAAGCAAGCTGCTCCAGAAACTTCATGAATGATAGTAGCTACTGGGACTGAATTTGTTGAGCATCTACTCTGTGACAGGCCCTGTATGTTCTAGTCGTCGGCCCAATATCCAAGTGTTGGCATCGTCTCCGTGCTCAGTCTTTGAGTCTCTTCCTTCTTTCCATTTTCTCCTAGGGAATTTCATAAAACCATAGATCTCTAAACACCATCTGTATCTCCCCACAATGTTGTGTTCCCAGGCCTACCTCTCACATCCCTGCACCCATGTACCTCTGCCATTTGGATGTCTCGCTGGGATTTGAACTTATTTTCTTCCAGTGAAACTCTTGGCCTTCTCACCCCCACTTTTCTTCCAGTCTTTCCCATCCAGCCATTGCAGGCTAAAAATCTAGAATCGTCCTGGAATCCTGTCATTCCCTCAATTCTACATCCTTTCCATCAATAAACTATTTTTCTCCATCTTCCCAAAGTTTATTCCAAGATCATTTCTCACAGTCCTTCGTTAATGCCACCCAATTCCAAAAACCGCACCAACTCTTCTATATCAGCAGCTACATAACTAGTCTCTGTTTTCATTCTTGCTCCTCAAAGTATATTCCTTGCATGGCAGCTAGAGTAATATTTAAACTCATTCATTAGGTCTCATCAGTCTGCAGCTACAAACCTCCAGAGGTGCCCTTCAACACTGAATGACCTTATGGTGGCCTCTGAGACCTGGAGTTTCTCTGGCACGCCTTCATGGGCTCTAACAGGATACTCCTCCATCCCAGCATCAAGGGGCGTGTCCAGTACAGAGAGGTCACCTTTGCTTGTTCAATCACACCATTCTTCACTCTGTCCCAGAAGCAAGCAAACCTCTTCACCGACATCTGTGTCTCCTGCCTTCCCTAGAGCCATACAGCTGGCTGGTTCTTCCTTGCAATTCACCTTTCAACTCGTGTCACTCCTCAGAAAGGTCTTCCTATACCCTTCCCATCCCATCGAAATGACCATCACTCCCACAGAATTCTACACTACTTCGGGGCGTGCTTTTTTCACTCTGTGTAGTCCCCCATTCTGACTCACAAGACCATATGCTCCCTATGAGCAGGACCATGGCTTCTCCATTGCAATCCCAGCACCAAAGCCACAGCAGGTGCTTCAGAGTCTTCTGATGGGTGGATCCATGACAGCGATCTCGTTAGGAGACTTTTTTGGAGTCTTCCTATGAGGTCTATAGCATTTTTAATAAATGGAAAAAAATCATCCTTAATTGCTTCTGGAAAATTCCTCCAGCCCAAAGTAGAGGTCTAGAGTGACCATAGCCCTTTAAAGGGGATATCTGAGTTTCAAGACTCAATCTAAAAACCATAAGGTATGGCTTTATATATAGGGGATGTGATTCCTGAACAGCTATAAATAACAATTTATTAACTTCAATCACGTTACAAACACTGACAAGGTCATATTAAAAAGAACCCCTAGGGCTGGAGATTTAGTTCAGTGGTTCTGCCGCCTGCCTCGAAAGCGCAAGGTCCCAAGTTCGATCTCCAGTACCAAAAACAAACAAACAAGCGAAAGGAACCCCTGGTAGATCCTTTTATAAAACAAAAATCTTTTTCTACTGAATAATCATACCTTAATTTGCCCATACTATAGATGTGTATTTGCATAGGTTAGATTTTCCCACAGCAGGCTACACTGAGGGGTGGTTCTAGAAATTAATTCCTTTTAAATACACACTGTGGCTCACCAGAGGGAATCTGCCCAGGAAGAAACCTTAACTAGCTGGAAATAATGGACAGATCATTTCTTCTGACAGATGTGTCTGTAAAAATGGCTCCTTTTTCTGGGAGCAAGAAGCAGAAAAAAATTTTCCTCCATTCGTTCCTGAACAGTGACATGTTGTAGAGGATGGGGTTTAGGGCTGAGTTGGCAAATGTGAAGGCCATCACCCAGAAGAAAAGGGATGGCCAGATGACCAGGTCTTGCCTGAAGTTCTGAATCAAGATGAGGAGGATGGTGACGATGATAGGGCTCCACATGATGAAGAAGGAGACCATGAGCAGGAAAAGCGTGCGGAACAGCCGGAAGTCCTGCTTTGACACCAGGATCTGGTGGCTCTCTGAGTACGCCAGGCTCGTGGTGAGCCTCTTCCGTGATGCCTTTGTGATCTGCCGGAAATCCAAACAGAACAAGAGCCATAGGTTACGGCCTGTGTCAGGGAGTTTTAAATTAGGAGCCCAGGAACTGGAATCTGCCATTCTACGACACCAGGGACATCTGTCTTTGGAAGTTTATGTGGAAAGAGCTGCCTTCTCAGAGGTCTGGCCTGTTTTCCACTCTTGGAATGTGCTGGAAAAACAGGTGTTGTGGGTACCCAAAAAACCAAGGCAGAAAACTGCCAACATTGTAAAAAGGGACTAGGAGAGGAGAAAATCCTGAATGGGATGGTGTGGAGTGGGACGTGTGCCCAGAAACACATCTTCCTTGTTACTTTTAAAGAGGCAAGCGATCGTACACAAGCAATATGTAATCAAGATACAAACTCAAGTGATAAGACACCAGCAAGGGTCAAGTGGAAATACAAACTCTCTTCTCTAGCCTTCCATACCCTCCATTTCTATTCCCCAGAGGTAGCCAAAGTGAATAGTTTCCTGGGAGACCTTCTAAAAATACCCCACCTCCACACACATAGGAGAAATCGTGACCTCTGTACGTGTGCTTTGGACCGAGATGAGACCACTCCCTGCACGTGACTTCCTTTTTACACAGCAGTCTACCGTGGTGCTTATGCTACGCCAGCACAGAGAGAAGGCACCTTGTTCATGCTATCTTGCTAGTGCTGCGCTACACTTTATCCGGGCTCCCACTGACGGATATTGTATTTACTTAGCCCTGTTTGTTTGCTTGGTTGAGGTGGCTGTGCCCTACTCTGCCCTTCCCTCTCTTACTGGTTGCTGAGTGGGGGAGACGCCAGGGTAGACAGCAGAATGATGTGACAAGGCCCCAAACTAGGTTCCTCTCATTTTGCAGAGACAGGAGAAAGGGGATCCTGGTTTGCCTACAGGCCCCGGAGTAGGGACTACTGAAGGGAGATGAAACTCAAGGCCATTGCTTGCTAAGGCAGCTTCTGCCAAAGTGAGCTCAGACATGAAGCTGAGTCTGACTGAAGGGCCACCAATGCCTGTAGGGCTGGACGCTTCCTGGTAACAGTTTCCTCACCAGCAGGGCCTGCTGACACAGCCACGAACTGCATGGAAATCAGACGATGAACAGCAGGAGGGGACAAGCTCCTCACATGGGTGATCACGAGTTCCTTGTCCTTAAGGGAGGTCAGGGGCACAGACAGGATAGCCTGTCCTTCTCCTCCATGCCCCCTGAGTTCTGGCACAAACCTACTACCCTGCAGGCAGAGGAAGCTTTGAAATGACTAATGAGATTGATATTTTAAGATAAGCAGGCACAATCAAAAAGGGACTGGAATGTTCTGGAGTCAGACATAAATGTTATTAAGCATGGCCCTTCCCAGCAAGAAAGTCAACTTGGTCAGAGCAATCTTGGGACATTTGTTGAAAAATCCCAATCATTTGGTATTTATGCCCCAGCGGAGATGTGGTGATTGTGGTAGCAGCATCCCCATGCGTATCTTTGCACGCACAGGTGAGTGTATCAGCTGAATCACTTCCTCCCAGTAGGAATGCGGGGACCTCTAACATTTTTCACTGACGAGCAGGGCCATTATACCAGAGGGACTGTGGGCAATGCAGACAATCTCGGTTATATGGACGTAGCGGGGGGTTTCGATTCTACTTTCAGGGGCTCCTGTAGGTATCACTGCCTGGCTCTCCTGTTCAGCCTGCTCAGTTAGGAAATCTTGCTCTATGTCAGAGAGAGTTTTAGTTCTCAGTGGGCAGCCTTGGACACAGAAGCGGCCCATTTACTGACACAGGATGACCTCATTTAAATAAAGCCTTTTGTGTGCTCTCCTCCTTTTGTAGCTCACATCAAACATATGTGTGAGCCATAGAACAGCTTCACAACGTTTTAGAACCAGAGTGCTGCTGCAGGCAGATGTGGGAGCACCCCTCAGGTGTTACTGTGCCTGGAGACAACTCGTGCAACCTTATTTTGATGTGGATTCTAAGCCAGCGTGCTGGCACAAACCTGTAATCCCAGCACCACTCTGGGAGCCTGCGGCAAAAGGATCCCAACTTCAAGCCCTCCCTGTCCCCCCTCAGTGAGTTAGCAAGACTGTATAATGAAATGAAATGAAACAAAATGAAATAAAATAAGGCTGAGGACTTAGCTAATTGTGCAAGCCTTAAATTCCAACCCCAGTGATACAAAATAGATAGATTCTGACTCAGTAGGTCTGGGTCCAGCTGAGATTCTGCATTTCTGACAAGCTTTTATAGTATACCCGACTGCTGCTACAGCTGCCAGTCCAAAGACCACACTTTGAGTAGCCACTGAAGAAACAGCCCTCTAAGAGACAATTGGTTGAGCCAAAACACGTTGAAAACAGGAGCTTTTCAAGTGTGCAAGTGTTCACCGAGCAAACGCCCTAGGAGGCTGTGCCTGTGAGACAGAGGAGGGCTGCCGTTTAAGTGTGACATCTCAGGGCGGGGTGGTGAGAGTGGCTGAATAACCACTGGGGTGGCTGACAAGGGTCCAGTGCTCAGTCTCTGAAGGTCCTGGGAGACACCCAGTGTACGGTCTACATGCCTAATTCTAACCCTACTCTGAGCACAGCCAGAGGGGAGAAGGCTGGGCTGTCTCCATCGTTTGCTCAGCTTCTGTGATGCCAAGAGGTAAGGATAGTGGGGTGAGGCCTGGCTGTGCATATGTAGCCTGGGCTGCCCTGGATCTAGGAGCCTGACAAGCCTCTGCTGACCTCTGCCCCAGGAGAAAAGCCAGCTTGCAACGTTCCGACCAGGATATTGGGCCTTGCTAACTTCCACTTGCTTAGTCTGGCTTGTGTCCTGCTTTTCCTTCAGGAAGAGCCTGTTGGGCACTCAAAGGTGCTACATCATCTGGAGGCTGGCCACACTGTTTGCTCTGAGCTGGCTCCTAGGAGTCCTGAATCTCAAAAGTGGAAGTAATTGGAAGTTAATTAGCATCATTCACAATATGCACAAGTTAACTCCAAGATCAGAATGGCTTAAACTGTTCTTCCAACTTTTCTAATTCTGCAATTAAAGCTGTTTGTCCTATGATTACCCTTGATGTTTTCTCCCTTGTGTGGCTGTTTAAGTCTACCTGTTGATGATAGAAACTAGGACAGTAGGTCCTGAGTGAACAGCTCCCCAATAGGAATTAGGACCCCTGAGCTTTCCTGAGGGTTCCTCTCTTGCAGGCGTCAAAGTATCCGTTGTTTCATCAAATGTCACATTTCATCTTCACAACTCCTTTTTGCCATTTGTGCCATTGCTATTCCTGCTTCACAGATCAGCAAATTGATTCTCAGGAGATTTAAGTTGCTTGCTGAAGGTCGCCGCATGGATAATAAATTGCGACAGCCCCATCTGTGAAAATTCAGCTTGGCATAGTTAACGATTAGCCATATCATAAAAGGCTCAAACGGGGTTGCCATGCTATTTAGCCCTCTCCTTGGCTCCCCTGCTGTGCAGATTGGGGTTGCTCAACACACCTCACCCACCATCTGGGACTCCAATGTGAAAGTCATATCGGCACATCCAAGTCTAAAGTTGCTATAGCATCAAAGTGAGAACTTGCGTTCTGGTGAAACCGGTTAACCTACAGACCCTACCTCGGTTGACAGATGTGGGAGAGGGACCACTGGGCAGGGTGGCAGGTGGGCAGGCTTCGGGGGAAATGGCCACTGCCTCTGAGTGGGTGTTCTAGGCCTGAGTGCAGCCTGGTGGCACAGAAGGGCTGATACCAGCCCCAGTTTTATCCTTCATTCTGCCCACTTTTTCCAGCCAAGAAAAACAGAAAAGAGTCCCCAGTGTGGTATGTTATAAATATATTTTAATAAATGAGGTTGAGCAGAGCTCACATTTACCGAGCACTTACTACTTGCCAGGCCCTTATCTGTAACTTGATTTACCTTTTTATAGTCTCCCAGCATTCTGTGACATAGGTACTTGGAGATTTCCATTTTATAGTGGAGAAGCCCTAAAAGCCAGGGAACTTGCCAACAGCACCCTGCTGAAAAGTTACAGAGCTGGGCTTTAAACCTGACAGACTCATACCCACGCTATTAATCTCGAACTAGTTCCTTCCCGTACTTCACTATCTCCATCAATAGCCCCTCTGGCCAGCCTTTAACTCTAAGCTCTAACGCCAGACACTCCCAGGAGCCGTCCTGGCTTATCTCCCTCCTGGCATCATTCAGTGTGCTGCTTGCTCCAGGTATTCACACAGCACCAGCTGCATGTACTGCGTGGTTAATGTCCATGCATCGCCCTTTTCTTTCCAACCTGTACTGAACTTTGGGCTCCCGGAAGCAAGCCCTCCATGGACACTGGCCCAGGGCTCTAGCAGGTGTCCGACAATGACCGTGACAGACAAAGCAGGCTGTCTCATGGCCAGGTGCTTAAGAGGTTTGGCCTATTTAGTACTGGCAGATGCTACCCTTCCCTTCTTTCCACAGTTCCCACAACTTGCAGAGTGAGGAGGATAATGGGGCATATAACCAAACATGGCTCTTTCCTTGCTCACCTTCCTACTAGATGTCAAGGCTGGTCAATATTTGTCCAGGATTTACAATGTCTCTATAAGTGGGTGGAATGCTTAATGTGCTTTTCAATTAAACTAAGTGCTTGACTAACTTCTGAGGGTTAACGCTAATCTCCAAACAACCTTCTGGCGTTACCTCTCTTTTGGAAATAAATGGAAGCTGTGAGGTGAAGTGACTTGCTCTAGCCTCATGGTCAAGCGGCGGGGTGGGTATGACAGGGAGGCCTTGGGTCTGGTCTCCAGCAGGGCTCACAGGAGGGAGGACTGTGAGTGTGGCCCCGTGGGCACCGGGCACACAATAAAATGCAGGTGTCTACCTGGGTCCACCCTTACACATTCTGGTTCGGTGAGTCTGAGCAGAAGAGACCTGCACTCTTCCTAAACTCCCCCAAGTGATTCATGCGCACTAGAATGTAAGAGTTTATCGAGAGCAACAGGGTTGGTTTGGAGTTTTCTCCCCAGTCCTCTG